TGATTTGTATAGCATAGTGTTAGGAGATATGATTGAACAAGTAGATTGGACCCATACCTTAGAAAGCTTTGAATGTCAAGCTGTAGGTAATTTAGCCCTTAACTCTCTGAATGGTTAAATCCTCTCTACAGTATTTTGACCTCTGCTTAAGTACCTTCTGGTGACAGGGCTCTCACATAAGACGTAGTTAGGAAACAGATTATTTTCTTTCTTCTGAACCACATCTTTGTAGATTTGACTTGGTGACTTTAGGCAAGTGGAACTTAACCTTAAAGAGTAAATCTACATTTGAGAATTGCTCTTATCCTCCTGAGTTTTTTTCATACCCTGAGCCAATATTACGATTTCTCTCAACGGTGCTCCATTAGGCTTGGCATTGAATCGCCCTATGATCCTGGTCATTTTCTTCTAAGTAAATTTGTCTCGCAACTATCCTGGAATTAAATTTTTATTATTTCAGGTTAAAACCAAAACAACCCCATTGCCGTTGAGTCAATTCCGACTCATAAATGATGACGATTTGGATTTATTGTTAACTCCAGTATTGTATTTTTGTCTCATCTGTAATACCTAGTATTTCTTGGTCATAAATTTTAAATTTTCTTCTCAGAACTGTGACTGTGTGGATTATTAGTTATTTTTCTCAAATCCATGAGTAATTTAATCCTAGAATTAAGATAACCTGTACTTAGGAATTACTTCAAAGGATCGCATATATAATGAGTAAAAATATTGAAAATAAGTCTTACTTTTATTATTTGAATACACTGATTGTATTTTTCATACGTTAAATTCATATTCTATGCTTAGTATGCTAAGCGCTTTATACATAGTAATCTTTCTTTATTGTGGAAAAAATACACATTACAAAACATTTGCCAGTTCAACAATTAATTATTAATAATTCGGTGACGTGGTTTATATTCTTCATGTTGTGCAACCATTATCACTATCCTTTTCTGGATTATTTCACCACCATTAACAGAAACTCAATGCCTCCTAAACAATAACTCCACCTTTCCTCCTCCGTCTCACCCCTGGTAACCACTAAAAAGCTTTGGTTTTTGTATATTTACCTATTTCATGTATGTGAGATCATACAGTATTTGCCCTTTTATGACTGACTTATTTCACTCAGCGCAATGTTTTCAAGGTTCATCCATGTTGTGGCATGTATTAAGACTTTGTTTCTCTTTATGGCTGAGTGATTTTCCATTGTGTGTATATACCACATTTTGTTCATCCATTCATCTGGTGGTGGATATTTAGGTTGTTTCTACCTTTTGGTATTGTGAGTAGCACTGAAATGAACAGGTTTTTTGTTTGTGTTCCTGCTTTCTGTTCTTTGGGGTATATACCTAGGATTGGGATTGTTAGGTCATATAGTACTTCTGTGTTCAACTTTTTTGAGGAAAATCCAGACTGTTTTCCATGAAGGCTGTACCATTTTGCATTCCTGTCAGCAGTGGATGGAGGTTCCAGTTTTGCTACATCCTCGCCAACAGTTGTTATTTTGATCATGGCCATTCTACTCATAGTGACCCTATAGGACAGGGTAGAACTGCCCCATATGGTTTCCAAGGAACAGCTGGTGGATTTGAACTGCTTACTTTTTGGTTAGCAGCTGCGCTCTTAACCACTGTACCACCAAGGCTCCTTGGCCATTCTAGTGGGGATGAAATGGTGTCTCATTATGGTTTTGATTTGTATCCCCCTAGCCCTGGTGGCTGAGTAGTTAAGAGCTTGGCTGCTAACCAAAAGTTGGCAGTACAAGTCCACCAGCCACTTCTTGGGAACTGTATGGGGCAGTTCTACTCTGTCCTGTAGGGTCTCTATGAGTTGGAATCGACTCAGTGGCAATGGGTTTGGTTCTTTTAATGGCAGATGACACTGAACATCTTTTGATGTGCTTGTAGTTCATTTGTATATCCTCTTTGGAGAAATGTGTGTTCAAGTCTTTTGCCCATTTTTCGGTAGGGTTGTTTGTCTTTTTTGTTGGTAAGTTTTAGGAGTTCTTTGTATATTCTGGATATTAAACCCTTATATATGTTCCCCAAAATTTTCCCCCAATCTGTAGGAGTGTCTTCACTTTGTTGATAAAGTCCTTTGATGAGCAAAAGTTTTTAGTTTTTGTGAGGTCCCATGTATCTGTTTTTTTGCTGCCAGTGATTTTGGTGTCGTAGAATGACCTTATTCAAGCCTCGTGAAAATCTTATGAGCAAAGTATTATCCCTGTTTAAAGTTTATGCAACTGAGGCTTAGAGAATTATAATAATTTGTCCATCACAAAACTTTAAACAGGTGCTTGTAATCACTATACTATAATGATTGAACTGTTTCCATTAATATTTTTATTGTGTCTTCTTTACTGACAGTTGCTTTCAGTATTGCCATTAAGTAAGCAGTCTTCCATTTTTTATTTATGATAAAATTATTAAAGTGCTTGAACTTTTCATTGCATGGTATATTTTAATACCAAGCATGTTTTAGTTCTTCATTAAATTTATCAGAAGTAATAAAAGAAGGTGATGGCTATATTACACTTGGATTTGAGAGGACAAGACTAGGGACCAATATTTCAAGAAAGTTAAAGTACCCTTACTATGATTTTTTTAAACTTGAATGTCATAGGTGCCCCAGGAACAAACCCAGGTTTGATGATTTACAAGGAGGACTCACAGGACTCAGCATGTAGTTATACTCGTGACTAGGATTTATTACAGTGAAAGAATACAAAGCGAAATCAGCAAAAGGAAAATGTGTATGGGACGAAGTCTGGAAGAAACAAGATACACATTTCCAAGAATCTTTGTCCAGTGTAGTTACACAGGATGTGTTTAGTTCCTCCAGCAATGAGTTGTGGCAAAACGTGTGAAGTGTTGTCTATCAGGGAAGCTCATTAGAGACTACAGTACTCAGTGTTTTTTATTAGAGGCTGATCATGTAGGCACCCTGTGCCTAGTATGTACCAAAATTATAGATTCTGAGAAGGAAAGGACGTGTTCAGAATAAACCACAGTATGTGCACAAACAGTTTAGGCATAGTGAGCCACTTCTATCATTTAGAAAAAGTTTAATAGGTTTTATATCCCTGTTGTTATTAGTTGCCTTAGAGTGGGCTTCAACTCATGACAACATTATGTATAACAGGATGAAACGTTGCCCTATTCTGAGCCATCTTGATTGTGAGTATGGTTGAGTCTGTTGTTGCAGCTATTGTATAGTGCCTTTGAACATAGGGGGCTCATCTTCCAGCACTATATCAGATATTCTGTTGTCATTTATAAGGTTTTATTGACAAGCCACCACAGTATGACAAACTGACAGACAGGTGGTGGTATATCACTGTAGGGAAATGTTTATTAGCCAAGTTCCCAAATGCTAATCAAGGGCCAACCTTGCAAGCAGATCTCCCCAATGATAGGTGTCAGGCCTACTATGTTAGGTGTTACAAGAAATTCAAGAGGCTTTGGAGAAATTAGGCATTCTTATTCACTTGGTAATATAGTGGACATGATTGAATTTAAAATTTCTTTTTGATGAAATAATCTCTGCATAACCCACTGCTGTCTAGTGGATTCCAACTCATAGCAATCCCATATGGTTTCCAAGGCTGCTCTATGGAAACAGACTGCCACATCTTTCTCCTGTGGAGCTGTTGGTGATTTCAAACCGCTGAACCACGTTGACTACCTCTGTAGAAAGAGACAATGGAAAAACTCAGTATCATCAGTCAGAACAAGGCCAGGTGCCAACTGTGGAACAGACCATCAATTACTCATAGGCAAGGTCAAGTTGAAGGTCAAGAAAATTAGAACAAGTCCATGAGAGCCACAGTATGACCTTGAGTATATCCCACCTGAATTTGGAGACCATCTCAAGAATAGATTTGACTCTTTGAACACTAATGACTGAAGACCAGACGAGTTGTGGAATGACATCAAGGACATCATATATGAAGAAAGCAAGAGGTCATTAAAAAGAACGAAAAGACAAAAATGGATGTCAGAAGAGACTCTGGAGATTGCTCTTGAATGTAGAGTAGTTAAGGCAAAAGGAAGAAATGATGAAGTAAAAGAGCTGAACAGAAGATTACAAAGGGCAACTCAAGAACACAAAGTAAAGTATTATAATGACATGTGCAAGACCTGTTGTACATAAGGTCACTGTGAGTTGGAACCGATCGACAGCACCTCACAACAAGTATTATTATTTATTATTATTATACTTAAAAGAAATACCCTGTATTATAGTATTGTATAATTCCAAAACGCATATTTTATAATTTAAGCTACCTCAAATTATTATTTTTCTAGAAATGATATATATGTAATTATAAATAACATATATTGGTAATATAGGACATGTGATCTTATAAACCAAACTGTAACCAGAACAGATGAAGCCTCTTGTTAAGTAAGTAACACTGTTTGGAAGAACACGTGATAGTCCTGTCTCTTAGGGCAGAGATGTCTCCTGTTTTGCTACTTTGTGGCCAGTGCATATCACAGTGTCTGGTATAGAGTAGGTGCTTAAATATTTATGGAATGAATGAGTTAATACGTGAATGAGAAAGAGTAACTGATGAGATGTCAGGGAAACTTAGTGCATAAAATAGTAGAAGAATGTGGGAATGGGAAGCATCTGTGCCATTTCATAGATGTTATCGGGGTTCTCCAGTAATTGTTTTAACTAGAATACTGTTCTGACATGTTGAGATACAGAGTAATAAGGGGAGAAAATTAGCTTATGTGAAAGGGATTGACTGTATAAGCTTTTCAATAGCTTAGTTTCTCATGGTAGACCTTTTAAAGAGAATTTCCAAAGTATAGAATGAATGCCGTCTGACTCTTCTTTTTTAAAAAAACTCAATTAATTAACTTGTTTTGTTTTACTTAAAGATATAATGGATTGAGAGAGAAAAAAAAAAAATAAAGGAATCATTGCCGATTTAGAATGCTTCCACATCACCAAAAATTGTTTTCTTATGTCCTTTACAGCAACATCCAGGAGCCGTCTCAGCAATTGCCTTCCTTTGTAACCTCAACAAGGAGCATGCCCAAGAGCCTGGAAAGTTCAGCCTCTGCCAGACCAGATGTGGCCAGCCCCGCAACTGCTGCTTCCTTCAAGTCTCTGGCTTCCACCAACGTTATCAAGTCACCAGGTTGGCAACAACCAAATCAAGCAGGTATTCCAAATAAGTCTCTTGTTTTTTGCTTTTTTTAAGTATAATTATGAAAATATGTTCTGGGATATATGATAGAAATTACTGATGAAATCCATTCTCAACTGCCTGAGATTTAGAAAGGACTGTAAAGAACAGCTATAGCTGTTTTTCTCTTACAGTTATCTTGTAAGCGTTCTCTCTCTATTTGATACCATTCCATGTGCTATTCATAATTATGAAATTGGGCATTTCCTTGTTTCCCAGCCTATTCAGAAAGCACATGTGAATAGTAAATTTGAGGTCTTTCTTAAGGGACTATATTGTTGGAAGGTGTTTTAGTCTGGGTTCTGTAGGGGAGCAAAACTAGTTAAGCATATGTATAGATATATAGAGAAAGATTTACTTCAAGGAGATGGCTCCTGCAATTGTGAAGAAATGACTCACACAATTGTGGGGGCTGGCAAGTCCCAAATCAGTGGGTCAGGTGGCAGGCTGAAGACCTCTGTTGGCTCACTAGCTGATGAACCCTAAATCTTTAGGTCAGGCGGCAGGTGAAGTTCTGAAGGCTTATGTCCCAGGAACTGGAGTTCAGGCAACGAGAAGAGTACAGGGTCAAGAGATAAAGAACTTTGCCAAAACATTCACTTATGTAGTGGAGGCAGGCCACACACCCCCAAGGAAAGTCCACTTTTAACTGATTGGCTGCTCACATCGGATCACAAATGGAAGGTGATTATGTAAACCAAAACCAAACCTGTTGCCACTGAGTTGATTCCAATTCATAGCGACCCTATAAGACAGAGTAGAACTGCCCCATAGGGTTTCCAAGGAGCGGCTGGTAGATTCAAAGTGCTGACCTTTTGGTTAGCAGTCATGGCTCTTAACCACTGCGCCACTAGGGCTCCAAGAAATCACTAGCCTAGCCAAATTAACACGTAACATTAAGCATCACAGAAGTTTATCCTTATAAATACATTACTTTAGTTTTTGATAATATGTACAAAATAACAACAAAAGTATCTATTGCCATCAAGCAGTTCAAGAAAAGATCTTGTAATTCTTACTGTCTGAAGATTTATGAGACAGTAGGGAAAGAAAGATGGACTTATGGCGACCCCATGTGTTACAGAGTAGAATTGCTCCGTGAGGTTTTCTTGGCAGTAAACTTTATGGAAGCAGATCACCAGGCCTTTCTTCCACAGTACCTCTGGGTGGGTTCAACCAGCCAACCTTTAGATTAGTGGTCGAGGTCACCATGAGTCTGACTCAGTGGCACTGGATTCAGTTTGATTAAGGGAAGAAGGACACAGTACTAGAAAGAGAATATTTGCATGGTTGAATGGAAAGACTTGGGCTCAATCTGAAAACCTATGTTCTCGTTGACTTCTACATATAAATAGCTTTAAAGAAAGTCACTTAACTTCTTCGACCCTCAGTTTTCTCATCTGCAGATTGAAGGGAGACCAAATGATCTCATGTTTCTCCCCACATGAACCAAGCGTATGATTATTTAAAGTACTTCTCTCAGCAGGAAGATGAGACAATAGTTAAATGTTGCTAATTCCCAAACTCAGCCTTCACCTCTTCTCACTCTTGATGCACTTCCTGGATGAACTCCTATCCACGTTCCTTTTACCATCTAAACAAAAAAAAAAAAAACACCAAACCTGTTGCTGTTGAGTCGATTCCGACTCATAGGGTCGCTATGAGTTTTCCCACCTAGCCATTAATTCATAATTGACAGGCCTCTCTATACTGAACTCCATATCCCCAAACCCATTGACCTGCTTGCTGTCTCCAGGTGGCACCTCAAATTCAGTATGCCCAACTCAGGATATCATTACTTTTCTCTGAGTGGCCTATCCACTCAGTTACCAAAGCTGCAATATAAACTTGAGGATCCCCCACAGCACACACACATATTCTATCAATAACCAACGCATGATGACTTCACTTCTTAGTATATCAGATTTCTACTCTCTTCCCTCTTGTCAGACCCTTCACCTTGGTTTGTGCCCTTATCATTGCAGACATCTTCTAACTAATTTCTTTGTCGTCTTCTCACCCCTTCAGTCTGTCCATCATAAAGCAGCAAGCAACCTTTCCAGAACTCTGATGAGATCATGTTACTTACTCCCTTGCTGCAGATACTTTACTGCATCTCTCCATCTTTAATATATCATTTAAGATCATTTTTACTTTGGCCCTTGCTGACTTCTCAACCTAATCTCCTGCTGCTCCCCAATTTATAACCTGTGTTACAGTTGTAGTAACCCATCTACAATTACTGAGACATGTTGTGTTACCATGCAGTTGAAAGTTATGGTCCCTCTTTGTAGAATGCACTTCTTCATCTAATTTCCCTATCTAATTTCTAGTTGTTCCCCATCAGTTTTGGGATGAGTATTAATTTAATGCACAAGGGACTACTTTTCAAAATGTGATAGCTTTAAGAATGGAGCATTTATTATTCTTTAAGAATATTTTTGACATTTGTAGAGTGTAGTCCCCCACTGGATTTTTAGATCATTTAATTAGGAATCTGTCTTTCTTTTTTTTTTAATTCTCCGCAGGGTTTATTTAGACACTAAATAATTCATTTATTTTAAATAAATTCTCTTTTAGGAAAACAAAAACATCATTTATACAGTTATAATTTACTTCATAGTGCATTTTGGATAGTTTTGAATTTCAGTTACATGTTGCTAATTTTGCAAAGAAACTAGAAATATTTGTGTTGTGAGGGAAAGAGGATAGGTCATTGCATATGAGCTAGAGTATTTTAAAGGAAAGACTTTTATTACTTTTGAAAACAGTATTCAGACAAATATCATTAGGCTTTGAAATTTCTAGATTATTAATTGACTTTCCAATACCTATTACTCTCTTGAAAAAAAATGCTAACAGAGCTCAGCCCTGTCCATTTGAATTATTTTCATTTACTTAAAAGCCTATATTTGACAATGGGTATTTGCTGTAATTATTTTGTATGTGCATTAGAATACAGAAAGTAACTTTTCAGAAAAAATTCCTTTGATATGGTAATTGGAAGGGAACAGGAGAATGTATCTTAAAATAATTCTTCAAGGAAAAGACTAAATTTATTAGATAGAAGCTGAAGGGAGGGCGTAAAGTATATGTACTAATTATGGAAGTTCAGAAACTTATGGTCAAAATACTACTCTGCCTCTTAAAGTGAAAAGGAAAAATTCAAATATATGTGAAAGTCCTAGAGAACACAGTACAGCAAAAGTACCTCAAGAGGGCAATAGAATCCTTCTTTCTCTGAGTCTTATTTGTTGCCATAATCAAAGCAGGCAAATAGCAATAACCAGGATGCAGCTGGTTAGTATTTAAAATATTATATTTTTTCCAGAAAATATAAGTGAATTTAATATGAGAAATACTGTAACAGTATAAAATATTAGCATTAAAAAACAAAATCTGTCTTCCCATTGTGAAGTCACAGTTGCATTACAGCATGGTGCTCAGCTCAAATCAGAAAATATTTGCTGAACATGGAACATTCTCCAAATAGACCACGTATAGGCCATAAAGAAAACCTTAACAGAATCCAAAGCATCAAAATATTACAAAGCATCTTCCCTGACCATAAAGCCATAAAAGTAGAAATCAATAACAGAAAAAGCAAGGGGGAAAAAATCAAACACATGGCACAGCATCTTGCTCAAAAACTGCTGGGTTATAGAAGAAATTAAGGATGGAATAAAGAAATTAACAGAATCAAATGAGAATGAAAACACATCCTACCGGAACCTTTGGGACACAGCAAAAGCAGTCCTCAGCAGTCAGTTTATACAATAAATACACACATCCAAAAAGAAGAAAGGGCCAAAATCAACACATTCACCATGCAACTCGAACAAGTAGAGAGAAAGCAGCAAAAGAAGCCCTTAGGCACTAGAAGAAAGGAAATAATAAGAATTAGAGCAGAATTAAATGAAATAGAAAAACAATTGAAAGAGTTAACAAGACGAAAAAGGTAGTTCTTTTAAAAGATCAACAAAATCGATAAACCATTGGCCATACTGACAAAAGAAAAACAGGAGAGGAAGCAAATAACCATTGTAAGAAATGGGATGGATAATATCACAACAGACCCAACTGAAATTAAAAGAATCATAACAGAATACTATGAAGAATTGTACTCTAACAAATTTGAAAACCTGGAGGAAATGGACAAATTTCTAGAAACTTACTACCTACCTAAACTGACAGAGGTAGAACAACTAAATAAACCTATAACAAAAGAAGACATTGAAAAGGTAATTTAAAAACTCTGAACCAAAAAAAGCCTGGCCTGGATAGTTTCACTGGAAAATTCTACCAAACTTTCAAAGAAGAGTTAACACCACTGCTACTAAAGGTATTTCAGAGCATAGAAAAGGATGGGATACTCCTGAACTCATTCTATGAAGCCAGCATAACCCTGATACCAAAACCAGGTAAAGACACCATGAAAAAAGAAAATTAGAGAACAATATCTCTCATGAACATTGACACAAAAATCCTCAACAAAATTCTAGCCAGTAGAATTCAACAACATATCAAAAAAGTAATTCACCATGATCAAGTGGGATTTATACTAGGTATGCAGAGATATTTCAACATTAGGAAAACAATCAATGTAATCCATCACATAAATAAAAGACAAGAAATAAGAACCACATGATGTTATCAATTGATGCAGAAAAGGCATTTGACAAAGTCCAACACCCATTCCTGATAAAAACTCTCAGCAAAATAGAAATAGAAGGGAAATTCCTCAGCATAATTAAGGACATTTATACAAAGCCAACAGCCAACATCATCCTAAATGGAGAGAATTTGAAAGCATTCCCTTGACAGCAGGAACCAGACAAGGATGCCCTTTATCACCACTCTTATTCAGCATTGTGCCGGGGGTCCTAGCCAGAGCAGTTAGGCTAGAAAAAGAAATAAAGGGCATCAAAATTGGTAAGGAAGAAGTAAAAGTATCTCTATCTGCAGATGATATGATC